TGGTTATTTGCATGTATCTGTATGTATTCTGTATAAGTATAGATCTATCTATCTATATACAATTAATAGCAAGTGTGTATTCGATAACAGAAGGATAGATAAAGACAGATAGATGGAGGGTGGGAGAGGTGAAGGGAGGGAGGGAGGGAGGCAGGGAGAGGGGGAGAAGGGGAGAGGGGAGAAGGGGAGAGAGTGAGAGAGTGAGAGAGTGAGAGAGAGAGAGAGAGAGAGAGAGAGAGAGAGAGAGAGAAGAGAGAGAGGAGAGAGAGAGAGAGAGAGAGTGAGAGAGAGAGAGAGAGAGAGAGAGAGAGAGAAAGTGACAATGGCGAGCAGACAGGTTATCATGGAGTAAAAGAATAAGACATGAGCAGCAGCAGCAGCAGCAGTTGCATCAGCAGCACTAATGTGGATGACCTACCTTTCCTTGCATTAATAGTCTCATTGAAAGGGAGGCTGAGGGTCCTTCGGTGGACAGGGACTTGTTTTCTATGGTGGCCATGTTTGCCTTGTGGTGAGGGCGGGACCGGGGACCCTGGGTATGGGCCAGACTAGAGTCCGTGGTGAAGACTAAAGGCGTGGGCGCACCAGAGGATGGTGTGCTCCAGGCAGGGTCTCAGAGTGTGGAGTGGGCAGCAGGCTGGGGCTGGGCTGGGCGGTGGGTGGTCACGAGCGGGGCACGGGGCACGGGCGGGCGGGCGGGCACGGGCGGGGCAGCGGGGCACAGTGGGGCAACCACGGTCTGTGGGAGGAGACACCACGTCAGTCACCACCATCCACATGGCTCCACTCATTCATACTAGGGTAGACCCACACAAACACATACACGTCGTGGGGCACTCGTGGATAGGCATTCACACAAGAGGGTGGGCACAACTGATACTCATGGGGGCACACAAACATACACTCACGGAAGGGCATGCACGTCGCGCCACTCTTCCAAAAGCTTTCGTCACAGCTCGCAAGACGCTCGTGCGAGCATCCGCCAAGGTACACGTACCGCCAGGACATTCATAAATCATACATACAAGGTAACCTCAGGAACACACTTTCCAGGTACTGTGCACACGCGCATACATGTCAACATACAGGTTAGGAATTTATGAAGGGCATATTCATGTGTTGGGTCACTTAAGGGGCGTATAGACAAATAAGTTTACTTATAAAAGCATACGAATAGGTCAGTTTACTCATAAGGATTATATGTATACAGGCACATTTTGTTCCTACTATTAGGATACAAACACATACATACTAAGTTATGATGATTACTATATTGCATCCTGTCAAACAAAACATACAGGTGGTACAAATACAATAACTCAGACATCCCTAGGACCATAATGGTAAACACAAGGTAAGAAAACGGAAATGCTTGGTCAAACTGAAATAAGGTTGTCATAAGGTCATCTGAAGACAGGTCCAAGACAAGTCGTGGGGCCATGGAGGACCAGTCATGCTTCCACAGTTCTGAAAGGATAATTCTCGGATGGTAGGATCTAACTGTCCACAGAGAAGTGTTCCGGGGCACACAGCCTAGAGGAGTGCGTACAGACGTGCACGCAAGGGCACAGACACACGCACACGCACGCTAACTCGGAAGGTGAGTCGCAACTGGAGACATTCACACGCCAGGATACGAAAGAAGGCAAACACTGCGTCAGACTCACGTGGGAGGCCAATACACCTACAGGTTAACTACTACTGGTATATCGAGGACCTTGAAAGGAGACTAAATATGGGAGGAAAAAAACTCACGTATCTCTCCCTTCCTGTTTCTACTCCCCTGACCCAGCTCCTCCTCCGTCAGGTGGCGGGCTTCCAGGCCCGACCTTGGGCCGCTCAAGTTAAGAATGCAGATCACAGCTACTCCCATCTCTAACCCATGGCGGGGTACACAGTCTCCCGCCGAACTGCATCTTCCGCTTTTCTTTTCTTTTTTTTTCTGTCTCTGCTTTTGAGGATCTGAAAGCTTCGGAGTCCGAAAACGCGTTGCTATCGCGAATGCACGCGCCGCGAACCGCATCCTCTCCGAACACACGACATTTGAGCCGAACAAGAGCGGGATACATTCGCATCTTTCTCTCGGGAGGGCATCTTTAATCTCTACGGGAGCAAGAAACATCCTCTCAAAACCCTCTCCGTCCCCCGCTAGCCAATACGGATAACATCTTACCCCGCGGACTCACGGCTACCAAGCATTCCCTAAAGAAAGGAAGGCAGACGGGGAGAGAAGAGCGGGTGGGGTAGGGATTGAGAAGGGGAAGTGAGGGACAGAGAAAAGGAGGAATTGACAGATAGATATGATAGAAATAAGTTAGAGAGAGAGAGAGAGAGAGAGAGAGAGAGAGAGAGAGAGAGAGAGAGAGAGAGAGAGAGAGAGGGGGGGGGGGGAGGGGGGGGAAGGAGAGAGGCAAAGTAGAGGTAACCTGCATTCACCTAGACAGGCTACATCACCCCCTTAGCTTTCCCAACTCACTACAATGAGGGTCAGGGAGAAAACACACACACACACACACACACACACACACACACACACACACACACACACACACACACACACACACACACACACACTCAATACTAGCCATACTGTACAGAAGAAAAAATAAAGGTGCTAATAGAAAGAAAATAAGAAATTCTCTAATCGAGACGGATGCTTCCTCGAAATAAAGCAATGGATCCTCTCCGTTTCAAAATAAACAGAATGAGCACCTCGATTTTGGTCTGCCGACGACATCTTCGCAGTCTACGTTCGTGATTCTACCAACAACACGCCAAACCAAAAAGGATGACTAAAAACAAAATGAGCGATATGAAGTGATACGAGGAGAGGAGCGGAGGGAAGGACTGAGCCGTGACACAGAGGGGAAGGGAAAGGGGGCAGCACCGATCAGCAAGAACCCACGCGCTTCTCCCAGCCGCCTACTACAACCGCACACAGGCCTACGGGACTACCCTGAAAAGATGAAAAGCAGAGAACTTGGGCGGCTTCTACCGTACAACAGATTGGTGGTGGGTGTGATTGGGGGATTGGGCTAGATACGGGTGTGCAAAGAGGAAAGCGGAGTCTACGGCGACGTCTTAGATACTTACCTGCCGCCGTCATAGCCATCACCATCATCATCATCATCGCTTAGCGAGTGGCCGTTACCCTAACCCTACCTATCTACCCATTCCCCCTTACCCTCTACCCCTTGGTTTTCCAGAGCACAAACGGTCACTGATACACTCGCACCTGCTGCCTCCGAGGACAGCACAATCGTAGTCACATTTTCTTTCCGGCTATAACAGGTTTCAAGAATAAGAGAAATGCTTGCATGTCCACCTATATCGACATCCATTACCTCATGCATTATCCTGCACGTGTGACAACTTTAACTGGTTGAAACTTGCAACAGTTAAATACATCTGCGATTACGTTAAGCTTTAGCAAGAGGTTCGTATCACCCTATGACTTCTGTCGCCAATCGTACAACACGCGTTCTGCCCTCTCGACATGCCTTAGAGAATGTATGAAAAAGTTTGGAAAGCCAAAGCAAAGAAAGGGTTAGGAAATACGCTGCCATGTTCCGTGTATCGGGGTTCGCGGGCCTGTTTCCATGTAATTATCGCCTCTAATTTCTCTCGCGCGCTTGAAGGAGAAAAAAGGAGAAGAGGGAAGAGGAAGCTAGGCGTTCATTCCCACGAGCTGACGCGTACGTTGAGAGCAGCGGGCGTCACTTCTTTGGGGCGGAGGCGGGCGTGGAAGCGTTGGGAGACAGCGTGTGGGGTGGAAACGTGGTGCAGAGAGAGAAGGGGCGATGCTGTCACGCTAAGGGCGTCGGCAACACCACGTGCGCGCTCGCCCCGGCTATTTACACTCCGGCAGCGGGCAAAATGCGTACGGGCCCTAGCACGCCCATTCTCGCTCCGAACCTGCCTCCTCCGACAATAACGACGAGGAAAAGTTACATTCTAAGGCGCCCCCTCCATTCGCCCGGCGTCTCCATTCTAGTGCTATGGACGCGCGCAATCTTGGGCTCGAAAACGCAACAAAGAACAGACTGGGAAAAGAATGGGAAGCTCCGCCGCCCTTCGCGTAACAATACCCGAAGCAGTAAACATTTTAAGGCCGAAACTGCATATTTTGTGTGTGATCTTTGATGCTGGAAATGAGGCGGGGAGAAGTATGAAAGCGGGAGCATCCCACAGGAAGGTCCCCGGGGAGCCCTCAGCCCGCGGGCGCTCCGACAGGAAGGCGGCGTGGAGGTGGAGGATTGGAACCGACATAAAAGAAACGGTAGGAAAGAGTACAGAGGACTTAAAGTGGGAGGAGGACGAGGCTGAGGGAGAAGGGAGGGACTGTGAGTGATGAAAGAGGAGGATGACGAGAGGACCTTCACAGTTCGTCGCTTCAAGCCTGGGAATTTCGCTATTTACCCCTTGGCTCCCCCGCTCCGTCCCCACCAAGGAGGGAAGTTCCCGCTTGCACCCCCCCCCCCTACACACACCCTCAACTTCCTCCACGCCGCGGTAGGCCTCGCACCGGAATAAGCCCAGGAATACGCACGCACATCCTGACATCCTGTTACCTGCCACTCTATGCACGGAAAGATCCTGATCAAGGCCGGGGAGGAGGGGGGGTCCATGACCTTGAGGGGGTGGGCGCGGGACGGGGACGGGCGGGATGGGGGTATGCGATTATCCGGAGCGACGCGGTAGACTTTTCGGGGTCCGCTCGTGGAACTTTAAAAACTGGCGGAGACTGCGAGCTGGACGGCTGGGGCAGAATAACAAATGTCCGTGAGAATCCCTCCAACGGCCGAACGGCTGGCGGGCCGCGCGGACAGGGTCATGGTAGGAGGGGGGGGTCAGGGGCTGCGAAATCGGCGGCTGGGGGAGACGAGCGGGCCGACATATTACGGGAACGAATGAGAATGAATTAATAACCAGACGAATAAATTGCAAATCGATAATACCAGTTGTTCAATAAATCGCAGGCGAAAGCGAGAGCTTAGCGGGGAGTGGCAGTATCGACAACAGCAAAGAAAATAAAAGCCAAGTGCATGAGGAGAGGCGCCGCACGCTGACGGGCGGTGATGCAAGCGTGGTGCCCCGCATACCGGGAGAATCGCACGCTACGCACTTTAAGGAAGCGTTTCCTAGAAAAAGTGCTAGATAAGAGATGTGCGGCTCACGCGGCGCTACCGAGCGCCCAAGAGCAGCAGCAGTCGCTACGTTACGCCATCACCAGTGGGAGGGAACGGAGATCTGCTGCATCGAACACTTGTGAACTTAACCTTTGGCCGGCGCAGGGGCGAAGGCATCCGCCGAGAGAACGGAGCATTCAAGAGATTGCATTACGATGGATCCCAATCTTGTACGCCAAGGGCACCCATGGGCACTAAAGAGCTGCTGCCGAGAAGCATGAGATTTAAGCGAAATATTCAAACGGAGGCGCGCGCGTTGCTGCTCTGGCTGAAACCCAATCTGGCGCTGGTGCTGCCCTCTGCGTGTGATCCGGCGAAGCGGAGCGTCACCATCCCGGGCCCCTCGCTGCAAACCTCTCTCTCCCCATATCCCACTCCGGCCTCATCTTACGGCGTCCATTTAACCTTTTCCTATCCCTCTACGACACCTCGCACATGGCGGCCGGGCCTTCCCCTCTGTAACGCACTTTTTTGTGTGTTATTTATACACGTATGACAAGTGTTCCCCCGCGCCGACACACACGAGCGGGGAGGCCGCCCTTCCCCCCTCCCCCCTCTACCAAGCGTCTCTCTCACTCTCTCTCGTTTCTCCCTCTCGCGCTCCACCACCACCACCACCACCACACACAGTCGCGCCACACAAGCTCCTGTTCTGCCGATCATTATCAACATGAAACACGACCACGGCTTTAGTCAGACTTTACCGTTACCGTCAGACAATGGTTGGCGTGGTAGCGGCGGCGGCGGCGAGTGTAGAGGTCGCCGGGAAGAGCGGCGTGAATGCGAGTGTACAGCGGTGAATGAAAACTACCAGCGGCCCAAAAGGCTTCCTCAAACTTGGATGGAGGTTAGCGTGGCGGCGGCTGAGACAGCGGCAGCCAGCATCATGTTCTCAGAGTCGCTACACCAATAAGACCCACACATCCCTCTCTCCCTCTAAACGTATTGGCCTGACCTCACGTGAACCTTAACATTATATGCTACTCGTTCAATCTCTATAAGCTAAGATGCACACTGATTCTAAATATATCTTGGGAGCAACACAGCGAGTATTAAAATGTACATCGGCAGTGGCAGGCCACAGCAATATACCCAAAATCTTTGGCTTTGCTTTCACACAGTGAGTCTGGACACAGTTTCTGTCATAGACGAGCTTTACTCATCACCACCGCCGTTGTGCGTTAGACAGAGTGTATGCATCACCATCACTACTACGCAGACTTCTATAAAATAAAAATTGCGCCTGGGGCTTCGGAAACTAAGCGAAAAACTCTTTCCACACCACAGGAGCATCATCTTTATCACCACCGAGTATCATTTCCATTGTAACAAAAATAACAAAAAACTCGTTTAACGAGTATCGTATATCACTTGATCACTCACATCAGCGTTCGTAAAACAGTATTATCACCACCGGCAGCACACACACAGTATTGAAGTAAAACAGGAAGAGAAGAAGTAGCCCCGCTGTTGAAGAGAGTGTTTGGAGCGGTGTAGGTGGCGGGAGCGTGGCGTGGCGCCGGCCGGTTTGGGACCAGTACTAACCGTAGCGTGCGTCCAGCGGCGGCGGCGGGGGCTTGTAAGTGAGTGAGTGTGTGTGTGTGTGGACCTGACGAGAGCGCCGGGGAGGGACGTGCGCACACCACGACGGTTCAGGTGAGACTGCCGCCCGGCTTCGCTGATGCGCGCGACCACAGGCAGAGGGTGGTGGTGGCGGTGTGAGGAGTAGTGGTGGTGGAGGAGGTAGTGGTGGTGGTGGTGGTAGCGGAGTTGCGAGGGCTGGTGATGGTGCTGGCGCTGGGCACGTTGTGCTGGTGGATGCCGTAGGTAGATTGCTTGCGGTTGCGGCGGTCGGCGTTTTCAACCAATGAATTACGAGGAAGCTCGTGATCCTGGTGGAAGGAGAACTCGCCGAGTGACGACGGAGGAGGCACACGAACAATGAATGTTTGATGCCCAAAGAGCAGAGGAGAACAACGAAAACAAACGGCGCAAGCGACCAAGGCGATAGAATTCCTCGCGAAATTCCCAAGCAGTTTCGAAGGAGAATGAGGAGGATCTGTGAATTTGTATCACGGCCAAGTGCGCTTTGAGAGAGCTTTGCAATAACTCGTGAGGGATTACGCTTAGGTGGGTCAGGGGAAAAGGGGAGAGAGGGAGGGGGTGCAGGTGAACCCCACCCAAATCGCTGCAAATCCAGCCTCGCTTTCGCAACCCAACCCCGGGATACATGAGAGAGCAGCAGTAGTGATTGTTTTATACCATGCACGCGGATTCCTTCGAACCGATCCGCGCAGGTGCGATTTTTCAT